CCAAAGGTACAAAATACATCGTCAAATTTGGAAACAATAGTACTTGTGTTCCTCTCATAGAAGAACTTACATGTCCCTCTATTTACGATTAACAATTTTTTAATAAACTAACTTTTTTTTTTGAGGGATTTAATAAACTAACTAGACATGGCATTCGTGTCGTGTTTTCCGTGTTCGTGTCGTTTTCGTGTCATACCCGATATCTTAACGGGTCGTGTCGTGTAACACCCGTTAAAATAAACGGGTAAAATGACCCGACCCGAAATCGACCCGATAATATTAACAGGTAATATGACCCGACCCGTTACCCGTTAAGGAAAATATATTTTAAACCAATAAATAATCAAATGAAAAACATAATACTAAATAAGTATATACATTTCATATTATCACATCCAAAACATAAAAACGCAATTTTGTTTTAAGTATATTTTCGCTTACCTAAAGTCTTTAATAGTTTTTTAATTAATGTAGAAGTGTAAAAAAATATAGAAAAAATATGTAAACACTCGTAATGACAAGCTTTTTTCAACGATCCAACTGTCAAACTTATTTGTACACATTCCAAGATTGCATACGTAAAAAATTGTAAAAAAACAAACATTCAAATATTACGTAATGGAACAAAAGTTATCGACGGTTATAAACGAAAAATCACAATTTAACGGTTATTTTAGCTCCGATTTTGATGATTTTTTTACAGATACACTCCTCGACCCTATAAGAATGTAATGAATAAATTTGATCTTTAATTTAAAGTATTTACACTAGTAGATACCACAAAAACTTATTTTATACTTAATAGAAGTATAATATTAACTTTAAGTGTTTGTTTAATCTATTGTTTTGACGCAATATGCATTCTACCAAACTTTTTTCAACGATCCAACCATCAAACTTATTTGTACAAATTCCGAGATCGCATACATAAAAAATCGTAAAAAACAAACATTCAGAGATTACGTAACGGAACAAAAGTTTTCGACGGTTATAAACAAAAAATCACAATTTAACGGTTATTTTAGCTCCGATTTTCATGATTTTTTATAGATACACTCCTCGACCCTATAAGAATGTAATGAATAAATTTGATCTTTAATTTAAAGTATTTACACTAGTAGATACCACAAAAACTTATTTTATACTTAATAGAAGTATAATATTAACTCTAAGTGTTTGTTTAATCCACTGTTTTGACGCAATATGCATTCTACGAAACTTTTTTCAACGATCAAACCGTCAAACTTATTTGTACACATTCCGAGATCGCATACATAAAAAATCGTAAAAAAACAAACATTCAGAGATTACATAACGGAACAAAAGTTTTCGACGGTTATAAACGAAAAAATCACAATTTAACGGTTATTTTAGCTCCGATTTTTTGATGATTTTTTTACAGATACACTCCTCGACCCTATAAGAATGTAATGAATAAATTTGATCTTTAATTTAAAGTATTTACACTAGTAGATACCACAAAAACTTATTTTATACTTAATAGAAGTATAATATTAACTCTAAGTGTTTGTTTAATCTACTGTTTTGACGCAATATGCATTCTACGAAACTTTTTTCAACGATCCAACCGTCAAACTTATTTGTACACATTCCGAGATCGCATACATAAAAAATCGTAAAAAACAAACACTTAGAGATTACGTAACGGAACAAAAGTTTTCGACGGTTATAAACCAAAAATCACAATTTAACGGTTATTTTAGCTCCGATTTTGATGATTTTTTACAGATACACTCCTCGACCCTATAACAATGTAATGAATAAATTTGATCTTTAATTTAAAGTATTTACACTAATGGATACCACAAAATCTTTTTTTATACTTAATAGAAGTATAATATTAACTTTAAGTGTTTGTTTAATCTACTATTTTGACGCAATATGCATTCTACGAAACTTTTTTTAACGATCCAATCGTCAAACTTATTTGTACACATTCCAAGATTTCATACGTAAAAAATCGTAAAAAACAAACATTCAGAGATTACGTAACGGAACAAAAGTTATCAACGGTTATAAACAAAAAATCACAATTTAACGGTTATTTTAGCTCCGATTTTGATGATTTTTTACAGATACACTCCTCGACCCTATATGAATGTAATAAATAAATTTGATCTTTAATTTAAAGTATTTACACTAGTGGATACCATAAAAACTTATTTTATACTTAATAGAAGTATAATATTAACTCTTAAGTGTTTGTTTAATCCACCGTTTTGAGGCAAAATGCATTCTACGAAACTTTTTTCAACAATCTAACCGTCAAAATTATTTGTACGCATTCCGAGATTGCATACGTAAAAAATCATAAAAAATAAAGATTCAGAGATTACATAACGGCACAAAAGTTTTCGACGGTTATAAATGAAAAATCACAATTTAACGGTTATTTTAGCTCCGATTTTGATGATTTTTTACAGATACACTCCTCGACCCTATAAGAATGTAATGAATAAATTTGATCTTTAATTTAAAGTATTTACACTAGTGGATACCACAAAAACTTATTTTATACTTGATAGAAGTATAATATTAACTCTAAGTGTTTGTTTAATCTACTGTTTTGACGCAATATGCATTCTACGAAACTTTTTTCAACGATCCAACTGTCAAACTTATTTGTACACATTCCGAGATCGCATACGTAAAAAATTGTAAAAAAAAAACATTCAGAGATTACGTAACGGAACAAAAGTTTTCGACGGTTATAAACAAAAAATCACAATTTAACGGTTATTTTAGCTCCGATTTTGATGATTTTTTACAGATACACTCCTCAACCCTATAAGAATGTAATGAATAAATTTGATCTTTAATTTAAAGTATTTACACTAGTGGATATCGCAAAATCTTTTTTTATACTTAATAGAAGTATAATATTAACTTTAAGTGTTTGTTTAATCTACTATTTTGACGCAATATGCATTCTACAAAACTTTTTTTAACGATCCAACCGTCAAACTTATTTGTACGCGTTCCAAGATTGCATACGTAAAAAATCGTAAAAAAAAAACATTCAGAGATTACGTAACGGAACAAAAGTTATCAACGGTTATAAACGAAAAATCACAATTTAACGGTTATTTTAGCTCCGATTTTGATGATTCTTTACAGATACACTCCTCGACCCTATAAGAATGTAATAAATAAATTTGATCTTTAATTTAAAGTATTTACACTAGTGGATACCACAAAAACTTATTTTATACTTAATAGAAGTATAATATTAACTCTAAGTGTTTGTTTTATCTACCGTTTTGATGCAATATGCATTCTACGAAACTTTTTTCAACGATCCAACCGTCAAACTTATTTGTACACATTCTGAGATTGCAAAAGTAAAAAATTGTAAAAAACAAACATTCAGAGATTACGTAACGGAACAAAAGTTTTCGACGGTTATAAACGAAAAATCACAATTTAACGGTTATTTTAGCTCCGATTTTGATGATTTTGTACATATACACTCCTCGACCCTATAAGAATGTAATGAATAAATTTGATCTTTAATTTAAAGTATTTACATTTTTTATATATGAGTGATTGTATATATATTTTTTTACATTTTTTACACTTCTACAATAATTATTATTAATTTTATTAATTTTGCCCTCAAATAAAAAACATTATTCATGAGGGTTTGAAGGATTTTAAAAATCTAAACGATAATATAAGTGTAACAATTATCTATTCGTGAAGGAATAATGATAAATCACGAGTGTTTATATATTTCTTTCATATTTTTCATACTTGTATGTATGTCTTCTTAATTCTTGCATATACAAATACTATACTAGTATATTTTAATTTTGGACAAGAATATGTTATGTAAAATTTATCCTAGTAATAATAATAAGGAACTCTCATAATAAAAATAAATAATGACTAAAACTTTTTTTATTTTTTTATAATTTATATAGAACAATAATACAAAACTATATATTTAATATAGAATATATTGTATATATTAATATGATTATTGTGTTTTATAATAAATCTTTTAGTAATTAAACTTTAAAATTATTAAAATATTTTTTTTCTTAACGGGTCGAAACGGGTTACCCACGTGTTACCCGCGTGTATACCTGTTAAGAACCCGTTATTAACGGGTTCTTAACGGGTCACCCGATAGTGACCCGATAAGTTATCGTGTTGACCCGAAACCCGTTATTTTCGTGTCGTTTTCGTGTCGTGTCACCGTGTCGTGTAAAAAACTGCCAGGTCTAAAACTAACTATAAACTCACAATATCCTCACTATGTATAAATAAATAATATTATTATTTATATATATAGGACTAGCGGGTGCCAGTTAATTAGCCACCTCAGCAATCAGTTGCCTCTCCTAAAACTACCCCCCAACTCTCCTCTTCCCATCCACGTACAAATTACCATATACAATTCACCCTTCACCATTGACCATTCACCAGACTTTTTAACTGTTTTACCGCCGGAGGAGTCTCAGAATTGACTGCCCTCAAATGTTTGTCCGAACTGCCAGTTTCCCGGCGCAACATTGTTGGCGGTGAGAGTTCTGCCGTCGCTGGTGGTGACCTGGAAGGAGAGGCTCTGGCCGTTGAGGTAAGAGTTGCTCTGCCAGTTCTGGCCCCAGTTTCTTGACATGGCTTGCCACCCTGTCTTGGAACCCTTGATCGACACAGAGTGGACGTCTCCTGCTCCTCCGACGTTGGTGATCAAAACCAAGTTGAAGTAAGAGTGGCCGTTGATTGTGAACCTTATTCCTCCCTTCTTCACACACGAAACCCTACAAAAATACCAGCACATGCATGTCAGTGTCACCACCCTCACAAAATATTAGTAACTTTTAACAACAAAACAAATAAATTATTATGTGTGACCATTCCACGACTTTCGCGACAAAAAATCCAATGTAACAGTTGTATATCGTCTTTTTCGTGTCCCACGTGACGTGGTGAGCAGATGGGTGAGGTAGAAAGAGTGTATGCAAGTGTTTCCATACAAAGGAGATACTATTGTGAGTCGGTGACAATGTTTTAGTGAGGTCAATCACACATTTTCATGCAAAAAGGTTAAGATGTGATGGACTTTATATGCTCCCATATTATCATTTCCGTTGTAGGTAAACTTCAAGGTTAAATGTAAGAGTCGCACAGAAAAATTACTGAGGCAGTTCAAGTTAATGTTGTTTTTACCTTCTGAAGGAGACGGGGACAATTCCAGCTCTGTATTGGGCAATTTTCAAGAAAGCAGGCTCAGCCAAATCAAAGTGCTGGAGAGGAGGGTTGCACCAGCCACCATTGTCGTTGGCCTGCGCAAAGTTGGGAGGGCAGAAGTTGGTGGCGGTGACGATGATGCTGCCGGGGAGGCACCATTTGGGGTCACTGCCACATTTCATCTCATAGCAAGACCCGCAGCTCAAGCCATTGTTGAAGAGAGCTGTGCTCAGTGCTGCAGTGTTGGTTCCGTACCCTTGGCTGTACAAGTTCCCATATCCACAAGCACCTCCTGCAATATCCAAATATACAACCCCATCAACATTCATGCTAAAAAATATTTACCATCTTGCATCTTGGGTTTTTGGTTTTTTTCCGTACAAGTGATATCCTACTTTAAACTAATCTAAATTGCAGCGAAACAAATTTAAAGTCAGGTTTATAGAGAGAGTATATTTGCTCTAATCAATGTGTGACTATGTCCACGTCTGTGGGATTTGGGTTTAACATATTGAAGCTCAAATTACAGTAAAGTTTTTACCTTTACCACATGAAGTTACCCTAAAGTGAAAAATAAAGTGAGTTGGGACTTACCCATTGTGCCAGAGGCATCACCACCACCATAAAATGTGGCATGGCCACCCTCCCATCCACCTCCATAGTCACCAAAAGTACCTTGAAGACATAGATTGAGGACAAAGAACAGAAGAGCAAAGGTGGAGTGAGAAGTAAAAGCCATTGTTTGTGTTTTTAGAGAGAGAAACTAAGGAGAGAGAGGATGAGGAGGAAGTATTGAGTGCAAAGTGAGAGGTGAGTTGTTGCATTGGGGATGGATTTGGGGTTTGCTTATATAGGAGAGTTGAAGGCATTTGGGGTTGTGTGTGATGGGGCAGAGGCAGTGTGACCAGAAAGAGACAAGTTTAGCACAATGTTGATCACCTTTTAGAGAGAGAGAGAGAGAGAGAGAGAGAGAGAGAGAGAGAGAGAGAGAGCCACATACCACAGATTCGTATTTTCAGGTCATGTTACAAGAATCGATGTGCACATGCAAATGTTCCAGTTAGACTTACCAACTGCTAAGCTCGATGACCCTACCTGCACATGCATTTCTCAACCGTTTTCTACAACTACAAATTACTTGTAGAAATTGGTATTTTCTTCTTCTTCCTAATTTGCCTGAAGTTACGGAGATTAATTAACCAACAACCTTATCCCTTCAATTTGGGGTGTATAGGTTCGATCACAAGTCCAATTTGGTGGCTTTGGAAATGAGAGAATCTTGGTTTTCTTAAGTTTGCGTTCTTACGTATATAAACTCAGTCTGTAAACATGAACTTGTAACTAAAAAGGTCAATGCATATGTTAAGTCGAGTGGGTGAGATATTCACCATTACGTTCTGATAAAGTCAAATTAAACATGTGTTGCTTCCTCATGTTAATAGGGTGACCTCGCCCTTATAAGTGGGTAGCAAATCATTTTCAAAGAGAGATGAACGCATGAGATATACAACCCGTTGCAAGATAGATAAAACTTGTATTATAATTTTAACATGTTTTACACATCATGATAGTTTAAACAGAGATCCACTCCAGATTTTACAATCCGAACCCCAGGGACCAAGCAACTTGGAGCACTTAAATTGAATCTGACGATCCCTATTAACTTATTCCGTACTCACACAAACCAAGAGCTCTGATTTCTCTTTCACACAAGTCAAGAGCTCGAATTTCCTGATCCTTAAACTCTGAACACAAAAATCAAGAGAGAATTCATATATGGATTTGCTTGGTACCCTTTCTAAAAGACCTAAAAAAAAATATCATTTGCAGAATGCACTGAACATTGTTGTACGGTGCAGAGGATCTACTAGAAAATCCGACATGAAAATCATTACCATCTTTACGAGATGCTCGAACAATATCAGTTCCCACGTGTGTTGATAATTTGAAGAGATTGAGAAGAATCTGTTGAAGTGTTAATATGCTTGATTTGTAAGACATTAGTCAAGTTAATTAAACAACTGAATCTACTAATCTAGTTCATTTCTTCCAATAAATTTTAAATAATTAGAGGCGAGTCATCGAATCATTAGGAAAATGAAAAACCAAAGAGTAGATAGATGATCTGGAATAATTTGTCGGTTGAAATTATGAACATTATTAAGAAAGAGTAATTGTCAACCCAACCAATTATGGTTCATATATAATTCTCAACCTTACACGTTTGTTGCCTTCAGGACGACGAAATTAAGAAATTAGAATATGATTAGCTTGTTTTCTGTTGACAATGTAATCGTATCATCAAGATTACGAGAGTACGTGGATGACAATTATTTTAAAGCATATGCTTTTTGGTATGTCGGAGTAAAAATGGTGGGTTAAGTCGGGTATAAGGTTGGCGTACTGTGTTAGACTCTATTAATCGTGTAGAACAGAAAATACGTGCAACGATTTGTGAAGAATGTCGGGTTATTCGATGTGTGACTCCGCCTAGATCGCGTCTAAGCGCTGGGCAGCAGGTCACCATCCTGATTAATCTTTAAGGCTTTGAAAATTAAGAAATAGCGTCTAAACCTGCCTAGCCTGTCTAGTCCCACCTAGGCACCTACTGTCACATCCCGACTCCACTGTAGCACGATATTCTCCGTTTTGAGCCATGCCTCACGGATTTGTTCTTGGGCAAGAGAACCTCACTACCCAAAACGCGCTATGCTAGGAAGAGAGGGGCATGTACATATAAGGCCAGGGACCAACCTTCATCCCGTCGATGTGGGATTTTACAATCCACCCCCCGTTAGGGAGACCGACTTCCTCGTCGACACATCCGAACGGACGATGAGTCTGGCTCTAATACCAAACCGTCACATCCCGACTCCGCCGTAGCACGATATTGTCCGCTTTGGGCCACGCCCTCACGGATTTGTTCTTGGACAAGAGAACCTCACTACCCAAAACGTGTCATGCTAGGAAGAGAGGGGCATGTACATATAAGGCCAGGGACCAACCCTCACCCTGCCGATGTGGGATTCTACACCCGCCTAGGTCGCAACTCTCACTTAAACATAAAATAGTAACTTTCATTTTGCATTTTATTTTTTCAATAAATTGTGAAAGACGGTTGAATACTCGGATGAACACTCATTATATGTTTGTTACCTATGTTTTCAATATATTTTAATAATTTATAATTTGTATATCATTCTCTTTTGGGATTTATATATTTCAATACAATTATGTATTTGTTTTATGGGAAAGGGATCCTCTGGATCCCTTCCTTCTAATCCACCAAATCAAGGAATCTGTGTCGTTGAAATTTGATTAAACAACTACAAACAGGGGCCCACTTTAAAAGTTATAATAACTTCAGTCGTTGGATCAAATTTCAACGGCACAGATCCCCTAATTTGGTGGATTAGGAGGAAGGGATCCGGAGAAGATCCCTTTCCTGCTTTATGTATACATAGACAATTATTTATATATTACATAATAAATTTAATTATAAAAATAAATAAATAAAGCCAACTAGGCCTTCCCCTAAACGCCTAAGCGTTAGACAACAATGGAGATAAGTATTATCCTTTTATAATCGAGACTTTATTCTTTAAATTAATGATGATTTTATTTAATTGAAAATTTGGAATATATTTAGATGATGAACCCTACCATGTTAGCAGCACATGCAGTTCCCGGGCTTGGCGGTCCCTATAATTCACGTATCATTTTCAGATGATTTTTGGCGATGCTTTTCGGTTTTCTAAGATAATGATAAATAAATAAAACATGGAGGAAACAGTAACTAGAGAGAAAAAAATAAAAAATAAAAAATAAATATTTGACTGTGACTTTTAGAAGATAAAAAACAAAGAATAATTATGAATTTTATAAATAAATTTCGAAGAAAAGGACATGATTTAACCTCAACAAAATCATCAACTTTTTGTCTCTTCTGTAAAGGAAAATCTTGGGGATGGATTTGTCGAATCAAAGTCACTAGGATTGTTACGTCACACACATTTTTCTCGCATTTACATTTTCCATTTTGTTGATGTCTAGGCCGATTTGTTTGGGCATTATGTATGTCTTCTTCAATAAAATAAAATATCGTTTCATCACTTAAGTTATCATGTTTCGATCTTGAAATTAGTTCATAATCGATATGTTGACGTTGGGACACCATAATATGATAAAAAGTAAAGTTGGTCAAGTGGGATTGTTTCCCACCAATACATGAGGAATAGGATTACAAATTTACAACATAGCGAAGTTCCTCACGGGAAGAATCACGCATGTACGCCCCGGATAAATAAGCACAAGAATAAATAAACCCTAAACGCTCTAACACTCGGCCGAATATCGTTACACACGAAGTCTTCGTGCTTAAAAAATGCTTACCATCTAAGAGTGATTTGATTAAGATCATTTCAGCTTCGCATGAGCAATCTACGAATGTGTCTGATATTGGACCTATCATGGAAGATACTAAGGCTCTGTTTGGTAGATCGGATAGGACTAGTTATACGGACGCCGGTGTTTGGCGTTCACTCGTACTAAATAAGCGTCGGATTAATTTAACCGGTCTGTTTATTTAACACGGTATATGCCAGATTAATCAAACCAACCAAAAGGCTCGGATTATTAGTCGGCCCTCTCTCTCTCGCCTTCTCTCGGCCCCCCCTCTCTCTCGACGTCATCGTCCTTCCCGTCACCTTCTCTCGGCCCTCTCTCTCGCTCTCTCTCGCCTTCTCTCGGCGTCATCGTCCTCCCCATCACCTTCTCTCACCATCGTCATCCTCCTCGTCGCTTTCTCTCGCCGTCGTTTTCTATTGCCATCGCTTTCTCTCGCCATCTCTGCTTTCTTAGTCCTCGTCGTCCTCTCCTTGTGGCCTTCCTCATCGCCTACTCGCAGTCCTTCCCTGCAACTGGGTCTTGCAAAGAAACATGGTGCGGTGGAGAGATGATTTCAATTTGGGATTCTTCCGCAACTAGCTGTTTGAATTTATTTGGGATTCTTCTGCAGTTGGGGAAGAAGAAGGGAGAGAGAGGGAGGGAGTTTTGGGGGTGCGACAAAGAGATATGGGGAACAATTATTTGGGATTCTTCTACAGTCGGGGAAGAAGAAGGGAGAGAGAGGGAGGGAGTTTGAGGGGTGCGGCAGAGAGATCTGGGAACAAAAGTGATGGTTTCTGTTTTTTTTTATAATTTTTTTTAAGTTTGATTCCTCCTATCCAGTATAAAATCAAACACATTATAAATAATACAGTTATTAATCCGATACTGCATCAAACGCCCGACTAATTTAGTCAGTACTATCCGGTGACTATTTGTCACATCCCGGCCCGGGGCGGACCACTTCCCGGGCCCGTTCCACCACCGTAGCACGATATTGTCCGCTTTGGGCCCCGACCACGCCCTCACGGTTTTGTTTTTGGGAACTCACGAGCAACTTCCCAGTGGGTCACCCATCATGGGAGTGCTCTGGCCTCCTTCTCGCTTAACTTCGGAGTTCCTACGGAACCCGAAGCCAGTGAGCTCCCAAAAGGCCTCGTGCTAGGTAGGGATGGGAATTTGCATTTAAGGATCACTCCCCTGGGCGATGTGGGATGTTACAATCCACCCCCCTTAGGGGCCCGACGTCCTCGTCGGCACACCACGGCCAGGGTTAGGCTCTGATACCAAATTGTCACATCCCGGCCCGGGGCGGACCACTTCCCGGGCCCGTTCCACCACCGTAGCACGATATTGTCCGCTTTGGGCCCCGACACACGCCCTCACGGTTTTTGTTTTTTGGGAACTCACGAGCAACTTCCCAGTGGGTCACCCATCATGGGAGTGCTCTGGCCTCCTTCTCGCTTAACTTCGGAGTTCCTACGGAACCCGAAGCCAGTGAGCTCCCAAAAGGCCTCGTGCTAGGTAGGGATGGGAATTTGCATTTAAGGATCACTCCCCTGGGCGATGTGGGATGTTACACTATTTATCATATCCGACAAAAATAATTAGTACAGTCCGAGCTGTCAAACGATGCTTAAGTGTTTACTGTAATAGGTTGCTGAAGCTTTTGCTTCCCATGTCCGCTGGCAAGCAAACTGTGGAGCGCATCGGCTTGCTCGTTTGCCCTTCATGGAATATACATTTTATAATCATGATCATTATTTTATTTTTATTATTTTGGAATTTTTGTAAATAAGTGAAAAAAATGACAACGGTCCAAAGTGAGTGATGCTACACGAATTCGGTGCAAAGTCAAAGTTTGTGGCTTCAATTTTAACCAATCGAAATGTCGTAAGAGAAAAATACATAGTAAACATATAAAATGTGTATCGGGTTTTGTGGTCATGGAGTTTGAACAAAGTTGTTCTCGATCGAGAATCCGAAGTACCATTGCATTGTATTGATGTTCATGATGTTCCTGCATTTGTTACCGACACCTAAATATGTTCTCTTGCACTCTATTTTTTGAAAAACACAAAAAAAGGGAAATTTTATTTATACTTATGCAACCTCTTTTTACACCTAACTTAAAATTTTGAATGTTAATTGTCTATTTTATCTTATTGCATAATTACTATTAAATACAAAATGAAATTAATAATAAAACTCAAATTTATCAATAAACCCAAAACCCCATTTTCTCTCCATCTTCTTAGTCTTCTTCTTCGATTTCAATCTTACATCTGTTGAAGAATCAATGAAGGGTGGTGGGAGAGATGTAAAAAAACGCATAAGGAAGGGCACGCACAATAGAAACTAAAAATAAAGAATGATATTTAGTTGTTTTTTTCTCTCTCTCCCATCGCCCTTTAAAGTTCCTTCGTGTATGAAGAATACACTTGTAAAGGGCATGTAGTTGCGTTCATCCTTGCAGGCAGAGTCATGTGGTTGAATCCTCGTGGTTGTTTTATTCTTTATCAAGACCATCGTTATTGAAAAAATCTTCATCTTTCTAGAAATGTCAGATGCATGTTGTAGATGGCTCTTCACATGCCAGAATTTGAGTTTGATGCAGTTCGTCTGGAGTAGGAACTGTTTAGCCTTGAAATTGTTGAAAAGCCTTATGTAGTTACATTTAACAAAATGGACCTTCCAGATGCATATGAAAACTAGTCATCATTCAAGGAAAATTTAGAAGCTCGTGGGATTCATGTTTTTGCATGAGTGCAGTGAAAAGAGAAGGTAGTCATGAAGTGAGCTATGCTGCTTATGAGCTTCTACGAGAAAATAAAGTGGCCGAGGAGGAGTTCCCAAGTCTATTTACTTTTTTTTTTTTGTATTAAAAAGGTTTTTGAATCTAAATGCATACATATATTATCTTGTGGATTGAATTGAGTTTATGGGGGTATATTAGGTATTAAATTTGGGTTTAAAGAGATATTAATAGTTTAGTTAAAAATTAAATGGGTGCAAAGAGTAAGTTGGGTGTATAAATAGGTTAGATGGGTTTAAATAAAATTTCCCAAAAAAAAATATCTTACTCAAGTAGTCGAATTGCTACATAATGATTCTTTTAAAGTGTCAATAACACCGTCTTTTAACAATTTATATATCTTTTATCCTCGTTTTCTCTTTTGAACAAAGGTAGAAAAGAGCTCAAATTGAGGTCCACAAAAAGGCATGTGGATGTTGTCCAAATGTCGAGCGTGGAGGACCCATGCAAGTGCCCTTCACTTGGGGTTGTCTACCTAATTTAGTCGCCCACCTATGAACAATCCCAATTGCATGAAACTGAAATCCCAAAACAAAGGTAATGGACCCATTTGGTCATTGGCAAGAAGGATTTGAGTGGTCAAATTTTTAGGGTAGTTAATAACATGGTCTGTTGTAGCAGCGACAACTAGTCCCACATGTATTGCCACCTTCCAATTTAGGGCAAAGATTGTTCAAACTACAAGGTCTCATCCAACACCAGGCATGTGAATTTAGTGGATATCTTGTAGTGTAGGCCATTGCAAACCTAGTGACATGTTACCTGTGTCTGGTGTCATAAAACCTCTGCCTTTTATGTTATATAAAACGATGTTGATATAGGTCTTGGGCTAGTGATACTTCTTTTTCATGTGCCGAAAGAGATTCAAAGATCAAATTCTTAGAAGCAAGTCCTCTCGGAGCAAAAGTAACATGACGTTGCAAATCTCTCCCTCCGTCGCTCTCTCCTTCTCATCTCACCACAAAACCCCAAACGCGCCGCTGCTAGCCTACTATTGCAAAGGCCGCCTCCTTTTTCGCCATTGCAATCATCGATTTTGTCTATGACTTAGCCGAACTCTAGCGATTCCAATCGATCCTGCACCCAAAAAAAGGGTGGGAGTGGAAAGGCAAGGGAAGGACCATTGGCCACATATACCCGTTGGTCCCTTGCACCCAAAAAACGGGTGGGAGTGGATCCTTCCACAATTTCGACAAAGCCATGGGCTGTGGGAGTTCAAAACCCAACACAGAATTCGTGAGTAAGAAAAGTAAAATTAACAATTGTTCGAGTCAGGCTAATGTTTCATAGCGTTATAAGATAGATCGGTGGTTAAAAATCAGACTGCATTTCTCACCAGGAAGGGAAGAAGCTAAAACAAACATCAATTGTTGTTACATCAAAAGCAAGTTAATATAATTTGAGAGCGACAACGGATGAACAACACAACACAGATTTCCACAGCATGTCAAATTATCTATGGTTACAAACGAGGAGAATACATGGGGGAAGGGGGATCCCCAGCATGAAGAGCCGCATCTCTTAAAATCACCGGGAAGTGGGAACAACACTCTATTCCCACATGAGCAGCCCGAACGAATGAATTTGGAATTCAATAAGCATTCATGAACAACTTACGGCCTAAAGCAGCTACCAAAATTTTTGGGAGCAATCAATTCAAAGAATCAAAGTCCAGTAAAAGAAGTTTAAACCATACCTTTGGCTGAGGTCAGTCTATGAACAATCCAACAAATAAGGTGGACCTGAGGTAGATTAGGTTTTAAAATCTTCTGTTACTTTCGCCGGCAGATATTGAGGGCCCTTCAGGCCTTACTAGATGAGAACCTCTGTTATTGATGTCAAGCCCCTGAAATCGGCCAATAGGATCCTGCTGTGACATATCTAAGCAGGCATGTGACAGGGATGATCCAAGCATAGGTTGATGGGGAGCTGACATATTAGGCTGGAATTGATGGAACTGTGGCATGTGAATGTTCTGGGAATCCCGTGACCCGGTCTGTGACTGACTGGGAAAGAAGGGGGACTGCGAATATGGAAAATGGTGCATTCCCAGATTGTATGAATCAATGTGTGTTAATTGTTCTCCAGTTGCAACCTTGAGCCTCTCAAGTTCTTTCTTCAGTGCATCATTGAGAGCTGTATTATGGGAACAGTACAACAAGAGTATCGACGGTTAGCAATTACCATAGTACTATTGGGGAAAACTTAGTTTACGGAAATGGAAAAGATACTCGCACAGTTTTAAGTACAGTTACCCGATTCAACCCAAAGGAGATAACCAAGAACAAAATAGTAAACCAGTGAATTGGTTAAGAGTACAACAGACCCAAAGGTAGAGCTTTTAAATTTTCGATACCTCAGACTCAAAGAGGAGGGTGCTATACTAGTATTTTCTAAATATGGGCTAGCAATCGACTTAACGCATCTTAACTGGTATTAACCACAAATATAGCACCGAACCACCTTAGACCAATATCCAGATGATGATCCATTGTACACATGCATAACAAGTAAAACAATAAATGGAGCCTGGAACTGAGATCTACAGTGAAAAGTGACAACAATTGCAAAACTGGGTGGATGACACATACCATCACGTAATTGAGCTTGTTGTTCCATAGCTTGCACCCGAAGCTTAAGCTCTGTGTTCTCAGAAGATAAGCCCGATGTGTCTCTCTAGAAAATAACACAAGGAAACAAATAAATCTCTCAGAGAGCAGTAGGTGAGAACAAGCAATATGCGGGTACTGAGTACAACGTCAAAAACTCCTAACTACAAGTCCTGTAAAACGTCAAAATAATCTCTTGGAGGTGGCATGAAGCTAATGCATGCCACTCAACTGTATTTTTATGAACTACATTACTAGATAAGACAAGCCATATGAGCATTTCCGTACAAACCTGGAACAAAGTGAGCTGTGCTGATAGAGTAGTAGCTTCTGTTTGTAGCGTCTGAACTTTTCTTTCAAGTTCTGATATGTACCGGGCCTTCCTCTCTTTTGACCGAGCTGCAGACTGCCGATTTGCCAAAATCCTGGAACAATATGTACATGATGTACATTTTTTTTTAAAACACAACCATGAACTTCACTCTAATAATTAACTTTACAATTATCCATATGTTATAGATATGTGTGTATCTAGTTGAGTACTTTATCGAGATACATGCTCTATGCTAAGCTGTATAATGAAGATCCAAGTGTGAAGTATTTCAACCCCGATACAAACAATATTTTAAGCTTCTGGATGGTAATCAAAATCCTAATAATAACTTACATGCTTAAAGCCTTTGACAAATATTAGGATAACACTAATCATTTATTTTGAGAATTGCCCTTTTCCGGATGTATTTGAGAGAGAATTTCCTCGGCTCTTTGTCTCTTTGTACTTCAAATCTAGGTTTCTCGAGTTGTTACAAGACATGAAAACCATAATGTTCCACTAAACATCCTTAAATCTTTGAAAATTATGTTGGCCATTTGTTGGTAAATTTCGGAACCATGAAAAGCATTATCTTTGAGCGAATCTAGAGTAACCGTTGTTTTTTCCACTAGGAACAACCCGCTCATAAATGGTTGTCGAGCAGCTCGGTTAAGAAAGATCATAAATTCACAATGCTTCCTCAGCATTGTTGATAAAGAATGATTCTTCAACTTATGGTCGTACCCAATGCACAAGGCTCCCACTTTACGCAGGGTCTGGGAGAGGTGAATGTCCTTCAACTTATAATTAGGAAAATGATTTCCGCAAAATGCAGATTATGGTGTTTCGGCATCTGGATTAGTTATTTCTTTCTTACTAGCTTCATTCATCGGGTTTTAACAATCACAAATCCCTCCAAAGATTTGTTCTTTATTATACTAATTGTTTCTAAGCTGATTATATCCAACTAAAACAAGAAAGAAGGAACAACTAAAGTCAAAGAAACACAATTTCAATCGAAACAGATTGAAGAAATACCTCTTAGCTCGTTTGGGATCGACGGTCCAGAGCTCGGCCAGCTTATCGGGAGCCATGGCCTTCTTAGCCTCTATGCTATCCAAAGACGCGTCCACGGAGTTGCTATGACGATGTCTCGGCCTCGCGCTCATATCTCCACCAAACCCGCCGCCCTCCGACTGCAGGGAACCGCCGGCATTCTCGGGTTTCAGGTCGGAGGGCCCGTCGTCGAGTTTGGATCCGAGCTTCTCCATGTCCATGTAGGTGCCGAAGATATCTTCCTCGGAGCCCCCCAGCTCCTCGAATCTGCCGGACGGGCCGTCGAACGGGTCCTGGAGCAGATCCAGGTCGTCGGGGATCCGGAAATGGACCTCGGATTGGGCTCGACGGTGGTAGGAGCCCCGGAAAGGAAGGCTCGGAGTGGCGTCCTGAAACGGCGGCGCCATGCGTGGGCGCTGAGAGTCCTGAGAGCTGGAGCTCGGATCCGGTTTCGGGTTGACCGGATCTTGCATTTTTTACGAGTCTGGAGCTCAGCTCTCTTTCTCTCTCTTCTCTCTCTCTCTCTCCTCGCGACCGTACTAGATGTGTTGACAGTGAGTGTTCTTCACTCGAGATCAAGTTGGAGGGACATTTCGGAGCGAAACTGAGAAACGAATGAAACGGCGTCGTTGTCATGTGGCTTGGGCTTAAAGGTTCAAGATTGTACATTTATGATTGTAGCCCAATGGATTCTAAATGTCACCAAACCCAAAGCATGCTTTAAGTTAAGGCTCGTGCGTTACGCCAAGGGTTCAAAATATTAATCAAATTATCAATATTTATGTCGAAATATTCGAAAAATTAAAGATCTATATGAAAAGGTGTGGGAAGAAAAGATGAAATGTAAACTTCACTCTATGTATAGGTAAAAATATAAGAAAATCAATTAATATCGATGATAATTACCAATTCATTATAGAAATTCTAAATTTAAATGAGTTCATGTATGCACTCCATTACAATTTTTCATAATTTCTACTGAAGGCAACTGATATCGATATCGACATCAATATCAATATTTTCACATATATCAATATAAGATAGTAGATCGCAAAAAACTAACTTGAATATAAAAATTAGCACAACATTAAAAAAAAAAAAAGACATGCGGTCTGATCACCATCAAGGGCGGATTGTTTAAATTTGATGTGAACAAAATAGTCATAGAATTCGAAAGGTTTGGTTGGAAGTAAGAGGCTTGGGGGAAAGCATGCGACAAGCGATAGTGATACTAGTAGTACTTGTACTACAACAATGAGGGTTTTTTGAGTAGGCTCCCACATAACCAAGGTACAAATGTTTCAAAGTCTCCATTTTACACGTTAGGTTGTCTTAGATGCAGGCAAACACCTAGGTCCAAACAACTATTTGGGCTTCTTTTATCAGCCACTTTCATATGTTTCTCTATTTTTCTCGTCAAATGACGTTATAGGACCTTATCCAACCTTGGGCTAAAACTCAAATTTCCACTTTTATTCCCCCTCAAAACTCAACCCAACCTAATGCTAAAATGTGGTCTAAAACTTAAAACTCAAATGGAAGCCAAATTTAGCTCAGGATTTAGCCCAGGATTAGTGGGGCTGGTCCACTATATATGTATATTTTATTTAGTTTTATATTTATAAATACAGTGAATCCAACGGTTAAGATCTGTATTGATGAAATTCAACAGTAAAAAAAAATTAACGATCCAAACTTAAATCTAAAAGCTAAAGTAATTAAAAAAAATCTTTTATTTGTTTCATATTTTTTTCGTAGTGTTTAACGAGTTTCATGGTGTCGGTTAGGCCAAGGGTTGGAGATGGTCTAATTAAAAGCCGATCGACATTGAGGCTAGAGTGATCCCAGGACTACTCTGAGTCCGAGATATATACATGTGAAGACCTTCAACAGATCCTCTGAATGTTTAGTCAGGTTCTTTTTGCGTGCACTAAGTGTTTCATATAATATATGTTAGACATATCTATACAAGTTATGTCGACAAGACTCAACAAAACCTCTCGAATATCTATATTACTCATCAGATTGTTTCAACATATGTCAATATATGTTGATATTGTGCAACATGCGGTCTGATTACCATCAAGGTCGGATTGTTTAAATTGATTCAAATTGTCAGAAAATTTGATGTGAAAAAGTTGTCATAAAACTCGAAAGGTTTGGTTGGAAGCGAGAGAGGCTTGGGGGATAGCATGCGACAAGCGATCGTGATACTGGCAGTACTTCTACTACAACAATGAGGCTTTTTTGAGTAGGCTCCTACATAACCAAAGTATAAATGTTTCAAAGTCTCAAATTTACACGTTAGCTTGTCTTTAGGTGCAGGCAAACATCTAGGTCTAAACAACTATTTCGGTTTGGGATTGTAATTTTCACACATCCTTAACTATTTTTCTCACACTCATTCCTATTTTTTAATAGTTAATTGGTATCATACTATTTAATCTTCCATATATACCCTTCCCACTTTTTTATGGTAATTAATGAAAGATGAAATAGGGAGGGGTATATATGGAAGATTAAATAGTAGGATACCAATTAAGTACTAAAAAAATAGGAAGGGATGTGGGAAAAGTAGTTAAGGGTGTGTGAAAATCACAACCCTTTGGGTTTCTTTTATAAGCCACTTTCATATGTTTCTCTATTTTTCTCGTCAAATGACGTTAGAATCAAAGACGGCTATTTTTGTCGTCAAATAACGTTATAATTAGAGGCGGATGGACATTGAGACTAAAGTGATCCTAGGACTACTCAGAGTCCGAGATATATACATGTGAAGATCTGCAATAGATCCTCTAAATGTTTAGTCAGGTCTTTTTTGTGTGCACTAAGTGTTTGATATAATATATGTTAGGTATATCTAGACAAATTGTGTCAACAAAACCTCTCGAATCTCTACATCGCTCATCAAGTTGTTTCAGCATATGTCAATATATGTTGACATTGTGCAACATGTTTTGGCTGACAATAACAGGCTTACCAAGTGTCAAAAGAAATGACTCAGTAAAATAAATTGAAAAATAAAGTTTGAGCGCCTCACTCTCTATTTCTATCTAAAAAACTTGAATCATTAACACTAGGATCCCATGGTTCACATATTGCTTGAATCTGCCACTGACTAGAATTCATAATAGATACAAACAAACGTTAACGTGTGAGGAGAGACGTTTTGATAGACTTTATTAGGATCGTTCTTACATCAACAAAATCGGCGTGCAATTAAATGAAATCAAAATACAAAGAATCTCGTATTTTTGTGAGGACTATTGTTCGAATCACGTGATTAGACATTCTTATTTCATGCTTGAGAAGTTAGCTAGTATGATCGGTTGAAGCTGCTCCACATGTTCACCTAATCAATTAAGGTGTTGAAGACCTGCGGAGGCTAGCAAAGTCGGTAGGCCATTCAATTTTTTTAACAATTGTACATGGATCTTGATGGAACTTGTATGGGTTTACTCAATCCAAGCGTAACGTGTGTTTATCCCTTGAATTTTGAGGGCCCATTGGGACACTTGGACTAGACATGTGTGGACCCATCAACGCCCCCAGTCATCTGATCTCCAGAATGAATGATCACGTGCTTCTCACGTGCCCTACTCATGATCACGCACTCACAACTCACAGGTATCTGGACGGTATAAACATGTAATTGTCAAGAGAGTGATTAATGTTGAATTTTATATGATTTCCAATTAGTATAGAGACATGGGAAATACCGACGAAGCTCTCTCAAAGTTACTTTTATTGGGTTTCTGTCAATTTACAGTTTTACATTAATTTTTTATAATAATATTATAAAATATTATGTTAAAATATAAAGTGATAAATAATATATAAAGAATATCATTTTGTTAACAAATAATATTATATATACTAAAAGGATGATGAGTGAGCTAAACCTCATAATAGGCTAACAATAATGTGGTTCAAATTCATTTCTCTCACTTACAAGTAAATAAGAATATCATTAGACCGTAGTACTAAATGAAAAATCTCACTTTTAAGAGGATATTTGTAACGTTTCTCATAGTCACAATTACTTGGTCAAATTCCATGATTTGCTGACAATTAGAATTTTTGCATGTTCATGTGTCAATGCCTACAATTTAGGTTCGAAATCTTCACGTTTTATTAGACATACTCTAAAACTTTTAGAGTAAAACTTAAATTTTATATTCTAAATTTATCTCAACTTGCTCAAACTCTTAGGGCAAATATAAGTTAAAACTCAAAACTCATTTCTGAGTCATATTTAGCCCAGGATTCGCCCTTGAGTTAGTGGGGCTGACATACCATATATGTATATTTTTTTTAGTTTTATATTTATATATTCATTAAATTTAACGGTTAAGATCTAATTTGATGAAATCCAACAGTAAAAAAAAATCTAATGGTCAAAATTTAAATCCAATGGCTAAAATAATTAAAAAATTCTTTTATGTGTTTCATATTCTTTCATAGTGACACACCCCGTCCCAAAGGAGGGCATGCTGGCCGTCACGTGAGAGTGACGTAACCATTTACACAGTTCGGAAGCTTTTAAAATACAATTACTAAAATGGAAACCCCCGAGGGTGAGTCCTACATTTGTGAATTCTGTCAGAACGCCGTTGGGTTCCTCGTGGCCACCAAAGCTTTGCTAACTAGAACCTGGAGAGGCGAAAAACAAAATTGAGTGGGTCAATAAAACCAAAGCTTTTCAAAAACACTTCGCCAAAAATAATTATAACCCCTCTCTGTAAAATCTGTATACTTTTCCCAGAAAATAACATAATAGTATAAAAAAAAACCTCATATCTCAAATCATTAATCTATATCAAAATCCAGAAATCATGTCATGCCATAAAGTCAATACAGAATATGGATGCATCAATATAACAGATGACATAATGAATCAACCGGACGTTCACTGGCTTCGGGTTCTGTCGGAACTTCGAAGTTAAGCGAATAGCGCGCGAGAGCAATCCCATGATGGGTGACCCACTGGGAAGTTCTCGTGTGAATTCCTATAAACAAAACCGTGAGGGCGTAGTCGGGGCCCAAAGCGGATAATATCGTCCTACGGTGGTGGAATGAGCCCGGGAAGTGGTCCGCCCCGGGCCGGGATGTGACACATAGTGTTTCACGAGTTTCATGGTGTCGGTTAGTGATTTTTCAATATTTATCGGAATCTAAAATTTTTATAAAATTAAATTACAATAGTATACATTTTTTTTTTCTTTTTAAAAAGCTACTTTAAGAAAAAAAAAATTAGTCTAAATTTATTCTTTAATAATATGGGGCTACAACTTTAACTCATAATGGTTGGAGTAAAAAAAAAACTGTTTCTAGGTTAAAACCTAAATTTTCTGGGCTAAAAATTTTAGGTTTTAACCCAAGGGTTAGAGATAGTCTTAGGGTAAAACACGAGCTACCCACAATTACTCATTTAGTCTTTATTTATTGAATGAAATATTGAGTTTAAATCTCATAAATGACAATTGTTCATTGAGAAATACACGATCCAATATACATTGAGTCCTATAACGCATCGGCTAAATTTTACATGTCTTCAAACCCCAATCGCTCTCGGAGATATAATATTGTAATAATATTAGTTATTTCGAAGTGGGGTTAACTTTTTCTTATTTTTTTTGGATAAAGTGAGGGTTAAGTTTTACATGTATAATATTGGGAGCATTTTTTCTCACAGAAGGGGGTCCTCTCCGGATCCCTTACCATCTAATCCATTTAATCCGAAATATGGACTGTTGAAATTTGATTCGACGGCTACAACTATTATTACTTTTAAAGGGCCCCTTGTTTGTAGCCGTTTGATCAAATTTCAAGAGCCCGAATCTGGACTAGGTGGAAAGGGATCCGGCTTTATTTTGCTCACTACCATACGTCATACACCTAATCATTTGATACGTGTCATTTCTTTTTAATTTTAATTATTTTTTTTAAATTCAAAAAGTAATATTTAATGTAAAAGTTAACTAGAATTAAATGAAAAAATACATGACAGATGATTAAGTATATAGTAAACATATATCATAGCTATGGTGGTGAGAAAAATATTCTTATAATCTTGGTAATCCTCTTACAAATTGCAAATGTGGACATTTATCATTAATTAATAATTATGTCATCTAAATTGGGGAACAATGATTTGACTTTTCAATAAGAGAGAGAAGAGTGAAGAAGTGGAAGGAGGATTGGTGATTGGAATCATTAAGGGCCCTTCTTTCTTGTTGAAGCCACAATTGAGATTAGGACAAGGAGGGATGAGGTAAATTAGAGCTTAATCAAACGTTTTCGAGAAATGCTGGCAGCTTTCTTAAAGTGTGACGCTTTATTGACTATTTATCACTTCACAGTTTAATGTTAATTTTCATACTAATATTATAAAACATTATATAAAAAAATATAAGGTAACCGATTGTCCATGAAGAATCTTATTTTTTAGAGAATCTTCATAACATTTCTCAACATTTTAACTTTATTTTGTTGAATGATTTTTGGTAACAGGTAATGTTATGAAAACTAAATTTTTTAAATCAAATTTACAAACCAAATGATTTGATTGTTGATGATTGAATTATTATTTGAGCGTTAATTAACGTGCTTATTTACTATTAATGATATATTATTTAATGTGCAAATACTGTTTAAAATTTTGATTTACCTCACATTATTCGGGTAATTAGAGCACCACCTTTTTCCCCACTCGATTCTACTTAAATCCTTTGCACTGCATGTCTACCCACAATAATGCACACACTGGAATTTGAAAGGACAACCATCTTTATCTCGTTTGGCATCCTCTTATCTGCAATCCCCTCAACCACAAACAATCCAAATATTACAAAAAGGTCTCTATATAACTCTCACATATCTGCAGAAAAATACCAAACTCTCTCTCTCTCTCTCTCTCTCTCTTGAAATGAAGGAAAGCAGAACAAGCTTCATTCTTTGAGCCTCTGAGTTCTGGATCTTCATCTTGTCTTTTCCGAGTTTTAGGGTTGTTCTTCTTAGGAATTTATTGGGTTATTAGTAAAAGTGATTATTTACCTTAAAAGCTTCAGCTTTTTTACTATTCACCACCTCCTCCCTCATGATCACCGACACCACAATATCTATATATATGCTTTTCTAGAAAGTGCTTTTATCTAATTGCAATCCTTATAGACATTGCTAGCAACCCTAAAGGCCTCTATCTCTCTCTCTTTCTCACAGCTAGCTAGAGAGTGGAACAAAAAATAAGAGAAAGCCTTGGCTGTACATGGGGAAGATCAAATCCCTTCTCTCTGTCTCCTTTGTCGTGCGATTTGGCGCTAAAAAACCACGGAGACCTTAAACTCCAAGCTTATGTGCCTAGCTTCACCAAAAAGGTACCTTCTTTTACCTTTTCTTCAAGTAGAGGAAATTGGGTTCTCTTAGTTTTGGTGAACTGATATCTAGGGGGAGAGCGGAATCCAACTCAGAATCTCGGATTGTATGAGTTGAATGCTCTCAACCAATTAAGCAGTACGTCCCTAGTGAATTGATATAGCGATATTGAATTGGTGAAAAACGAACTTGAAACCTCAGGTGCATGAAGTGAATACGGTTAACTATCTGAGCTACAAGTCTGTTGTTTTAATTTTGGTGAATTGAAGTAACCCATCAAAAGTTCATCATTCATCACTCAATGGTAACTCTTCATCACCACCGTCCACACCGCCTACTTCTAGACCAACCAACAACACCACCAGCATCACCAACCCATGGGAGCAGACCACGTGGTACAAACTCCGATGAAGCCAATGGGAGCAAGGCACGTGATACATACGCCAATGATGCCAATTTTGACACCAACATGGTCATCATCCTAGCAGCCTTGCTGTGCGCTCTGATATTTGCATTGGGACTAAACTCAATCGTCCGGTGTGCGCTGAGATGCAGCAGAAGGTTCTCTTCTGAGACACCAGACCAGACGGCAGCGCGGTTGGCGGCCACGGGGCTTAGAAAGCGCACATTGCGCCAGATTCCCGTCGTGGTATATGGGACTGGACAAAATATTCCCTCCACAGATTGTCCAATTTGCCTTGGAGAGTTTACAGATGGGCAGAAAGTGAGGCTGCTGCCGAAATGCAGCCATGGATTTCATGTCAGGTGCATAGACACATGGTTTTTGTCACACTCGTCGTGCCCAATTTGCCGCCATTCGTTGCTTGAGCAGCCTGCTGCAGGCAGTTTGGATTCGGCCGAAAATGTTGATGGTGGTGGTGCTAGACATGCTGGAAATGTATCATCAGGTGGACAAGGTGATGCGACAATCTCTGTTGATGAGGCTGGCTAGCTAATAGAATGTTATATTTTTGTATTTTATTAAGAATAGTTGCTAGGGCAATGCTTATATATGGACATTTGGAAAGGATTTTACCGGAGGATACAATTGTGACAGTATTTTTAAGTTAATCACATATTGCAATTTGATTAAGTTAAAATGAATGACAATGCTTAATTTTAACAGAAATTGTCATAATGTGGTATCCTCGTAAGTTTCTCTGTTGTATGTGAGGATCTTGAGGAAATACTATTGTGTATGTATACTCTTTAATTACATGTGTAAAAGAAGGAAGATGGAGTTTGTCAAACTAATGTAGGTCCTCTGATTATTTTGCAATTAGTTGAGGAATATAAAGTTAGGGATTGGATATGTACATGTATTTAATACAACCACAATTTGACAATTAGATATAATTCATGTGAATATATGTATTAAATACAATAATTATTTGATGATCAAGATGATGATTATATTAGATACATGTAAGTAACATGAAAATTTTCAATTTCAAATCACAACCCAAACTTTTTAGAATGGATCTAGTGGTACTTGTTCTAGTTTCCACCACAAGAATGTAAATCACCCAGATATTGGTCTAGTGTTAATTCTCTTCATGGTGTTGAAAAACATCTGCATTTCGAATCTCCCTCTTTGCATTGATGAAAAACTGATAGTAAAAGTTTAGAAAAGTGGGAAGCTAATGAAAACATAAGCATTTCTCATGAGCTGCATTTGATCTGACATAGTTAATCATCCATGACGATGATCCAAGCACCTTTGAATTTCCCTGTTTGATTTGATGGGCAATTATATGAGGAACACAAGGAAAAGAAACCACCATTTTTGTGCTAACAGAATGGAATCACAAACTCTTTTCCGCCTGCATTCTTCGCCTTTTATTGGCCCACAAGAAATTTGATTCCTGCACTATCTCATTTCAAACCCAAGTTTTCAAGCAATGAGGAGCCGAAGGCATTTTCTTAAGCATCATATTTTATCAGTGGACGACCCCTCCTCTTTTCAACTTGATTGATCAAATATACCTTTCATCTTCGAGATTTTTCTTGGATTCCATAGATTACTTTACTGCCAAGGCAATAACACTATTTTGACTGAAATACGAAATACGTGTATAGAATAATTTAAAGAAATTAAATGGATCGTCAAAGTCACTTACAAGACGACATATATTATACACTCAGGTTTCGTTACTTTGTGGCAATTTCTTTTTGGTTGAAGTAGAATCTTCAAGCAATGTGTCCACTAGAAGTGTGCATTGCTATGTTTATGTGTAGTGATCCACTAGGTATATATGACTAGTACACAAAAAACGAGCGGACATGAAAAGTACCAATAAGGTACATCTAAAGCTCTAGAGTTCTTTCAACGTGCCTAACATGGAGTAGAACACCATATATCAGTATACAAAGGGCGATAATTCTTTTTCAATTTTTCAAGTCTTCTTCCATTTATATAATGACAAATGACGTATGTACCTGTATTCTAGACACACTGAAAAAATATCTACTAAAGCTTGCCATGGATGACCAATTGAATGCTTGTGTTGTCATGGACTATTTGTATTCTTTTATTTAGGAAGAGAGAATTTGAGGCCAATCTTTTTATTCAAGTCTTGAGGATCATATGGATGGAGTTGATAATGAATTTAATCTTGTCATTAGTACTACAAAGTAATGATATTTTTCAATATTTGTAAGTGAAAGACAAGAAGTTCTCAAGTTTGCATTTGAACGTCGAGTTTAATACCTAATTATTGTTGACTCTTGGCTTGCCAAAATCATCCCTCATAATCATTGTATGAAAAAATAGAAAAATTAATTCTTCTGCTCACGGGTCGGACCAATTGTGCCACTCTAGTTGGGCCAAGGTCCAACCCGGCCCTTATAAGGCAGGTGGGGCTGAGACTTAAAGCCTGAAGTCAGCTCGGCCCAAAATAGTCCAACTCAAGCCCGGTCCATTTCCTAATCAACAATGTTATATTCATATTATGATCATATTATTTGACCTCTATGAGCAGGATGATCAACACTCTGCTACCAATAAGTTTTCTTGATATAATAATTCAACAGATTTTAAGAGGTTTGAGGACGGACAGAGGACGGATTAGTCATTTTCAACGGTGAAGAGTATGAAGATTGATGTTCTCCTTCAGGAGAGACACTTATCTATACCAGATACGTCACTGTAACAGTATTTCAAATTAATAACGCATCATCATGTATGTTTTCGATAAGCACAATACACTTGAATGGACAGAACTCGATATATCATTCATTTTATTACGCAAAACAAAACAAGAAACCGCAGATTTTTCCACTTAACAAACTTCAAAACGAGCCTTGCGGTTGCAAACAGTAACATCCCATAAGTCCCAATAACCAGACATTCACTTAGTTAACTCACTTGCTCAGTTCAGCTGAGAGTGCGTTGGCCAGGGAGGAGATGGTCGAAGGAGACACCCCTCTTGTCCCACCCAAATACCATTTCTTGATGTTCTCCACCACATTTGCATTCTCCACTTTGAGTTTCGACTCTTCCTTCCCTTCGGTGCTAAACACGATCTGCATACACATAAAAGTTCAAGTATAAATTAAACAATAGCTCGTAACGATGTTTGTCAAAGCTTTCAGAGAGTCGGGTCAGCAACTAATTACTAATCAACACTTATATCGCCTTCAATGTGCATTTAAGTTTAACTGCCTATCAGCACAACATGTGTGAGATTTCATCGCAAAATGTCTCGGTAGAGGATTTTACATTGTTCAACAGTATTCATGTTACTTTTTACTTCCTACCCCTCTGATCAAGATGATTCTTTACCTCGGCCGCGGCAGAAGTTGCTGGGAAATGGAATGTGATGACGGAATCCTTCTTGAAGTACTTTGATTGGAAGAACTCAACAACTTTTTCCAAGGCCTCCTCCTCCTCTTCCTCATATTTGTCATCAGCTGCCAATCTGTCCCTCACTGCACTCTCAAGCTGCACTCCATATTGTGACCCTTTGATCTCCTTGATCACCACAACCCTAATGAACTTCTCAACAGGGGCTACATGAACGCACAACTTGATCAATGAACTAATTGGGTTAACTTAAAATTCGACCGATATTTTAAACCACTCTAATTTCTCAGGACGAGCTACATGAACACTACCCTGATCAACTGGCCTGACACACGTTTATCAAATTGGTATTGGGCTATTAGCCAAATGAAATATGACAGATAAAGATTGAAACTTCACCAGAAATAAGAGCATCAAAGAAGTCATCATCTTCTGCAAGTTCATCTGCCTTTTTGGCCTTCCACTGTTGAAGGTGTGACACAACTTCAGGGTCCAAGTAAACCCCAATTGCTGTGAACTTGATTTGAAGAAAGTGAATCTCAATGTCGGTAATTCCTGCGAAAACCTCAATTTACCCATCAGTAATTTTTCGATTTACTTTGCTAATTAAAGTTAAACCCCAGATATGTAATTAATTAGCATGTGAAAAGATGATGGCTTTACCTTGACCCAGCAGAGATAATGGCTTGGTGGTTGTGATCTGAGGAGGAAAAGGGACTTCATCCACCATTACAACTTCAGTGCCCACTGCAAAACACAAAGATTAAAACTTTAATCATGAAAAAATCCCCCAACAAAATATAAAAAATATAAAAATAAATGGGATTATAAACATTAGGGGGTGTGATTAGCAATTTAGCAGAGACGCAGAGAGGTCTTACTCTTACTGGCTTTTGGGATTAGGAGGGTATGATTAGCAGGAAGCTGTGGAGATGAAGGGAGGAGATGGAAATATTTGTCTGAAAAAACAATTGGGATTGCATGTAACCGCTGTTTGAGGGGCTATATATCTTCGGGTGTGAGATTTTCAGCTGACAATTGCCCTCCTAGCAAGTGGTAGGTGGTGCTATTTTGGAGGTTAGAAAGCTTGTGATCACATCTCACTTTCTCCAACTTAACTTTACAACTGTGAAAATTACAATAACAACCCCACATTTTGATTACAAATTTCTAAATTTTGGGTCCCTAGCTTGTTGACACCTCAATTAGTAACTTGCACAACCTAGTGTAATTATTGTATAACAGTCAGAATACTAAGACGTAGGTTTCGAGTTCAAAACCCGCTGCTGGTGTGGAAGCCAGACTTGTGGCCAGAGGAAGGTTGAAATGCCTCTGTGAGTCTTCCTAGCCCCTGAAATGAGTGGATAACCGTGGATTGCCACCAGTTGTCCCTTAAAAAAAAATGAATACTAAGCCGTGGTTTGGATTTGCTCATATTATAACACATAAATTCTTCGGTTATACTTTGCGGTAAGATAAATTTTCGATGATCCGAATTACTTGTAGAAATAAATAAGCATACAATGAGTTGTAAGAGGCTTGACATTACTTGATTAATAACATTCATCTTTGCACCTGTTCGCAGTTTGAATTCCCCTCCAGTAGTATTGCTTATAAAAGCAAACACAAATTGAGGTTAAAATTTACAAACTACACAAGAGAGATTGTAATTGATGAGGAATGGATTGTGGAGAATTCAATCCTCCCAAAATGCCATAGCGTGTCACTTGGTTTGCAAGGCACCGAGACAGTCACTTTTCATATTTCATATTATTCTTCCCAAAATTTGCTAACAAGTCCTCAATATTTAGTACCTATCCTATTAACAATTTAGTTAGGGGCATTTACGGAAAATAATAAATATTTTTATTTTAGCTGAAAATTATATTGGAGGGCCTCCAGCTACCCACGTGCGCAACAGTTATAGTTTTGCATCAGCCGTTCCTTCTACCTACCCACCCTGTTCATCTCTTCTGTTATGTTGCCACAAAGCCATATATACATCAACATCATACCGGTCCACTCTCCTAAGAACAATAAAGAAATATTAAGGAACAATTAGTCTAGCTCTAGCAACTACGTAACTATATAGAAATCATCAAAAAGAGTTTGAATTAAGGGAACTTTAACGAAAAGCACCCGGTACTGTTCACTTTAACGAAAAACCATATTTTTACACTAAAAAGTCAATCATGGTACTATTCATTTTACCTTTTATTTTGTCCTTATTATTAAAACTCAAAATTTTCAAATCATTTTCATTAGTTTCCTTTGAATTAAACAGGTAGGAGGCTCTGTAAGGTCTTCAAAATCCATCTTACTACTTAAACTCAACCTGGCTAACTTGTCACTTGCAAAATTACACTTTCTATACGCTGCAAACATGCTGCAAATTACAACTCTAGTACTCTGAGACAAGAGCATAAAGCAGATGAT